GTTTTCTATAAAGAAATGCTTAAGTATTCCTACAATTATCTGTCATTATTACGCTAAATAATAACGTTTAGGACTTTAAAATATTAGTGTAAAGATAATTGTAAAATATATGCATTTATTTAAAAGTGTTTTAGTTGATAACATTTACAATTTTACATAAATTTTAGTTCATCGTGGCACTATTGGGAAAACTGGACACTGGGATTTAGATTTTTGTTTTATCCTCATGTATATATTAAATACTAGCTGTCTCCCTCGACTCCGTCCGCGTGAAATAAAAAACAAACATAACTAATAGTTTATGAATACTTTCGGGCTATATTCTACATCTATGCCAAATTTCAGCAAGATCTATGAACTCGTTCTGAAGATACATCCTTATAAATATCCATCCATCCTTCCATCCAAACATTCGCATTAATAATATAAGTAAGATTTTGTCATATTTCATAACGTTTGGACCTCTTAAACGTTGTACTTTTTTATTTTCGCCAAAATTAAGAATCTCTTACAAGATTAGCGCAAACGAACATCATAATTGGACGCACGTAAATTCGCACGAGGCTTCTATTAAATTTTACGACAAACACGAACCCTCATGAAACTTTGTTAATAAAGGGTACAATATATATCGTTACCGTATGCCGCACGGATTCGCACAACAACCGCCATTGGCGACCTAAAGAACTATAATAACATAGGAAAATATAACTAACAATCATTCCTTAAATAATTTACTAATTAAGTACATTCAGCGCTATTAAATATGAATTAACACACTTCTCAAATATACATATTATTTTTTGGCAATTCCATTACTCGGTTAATCATTGCTTATCCAATCTTACTAATATTATAAATGCAAATGTTTGGATGGATGGATATTTGTGAGAAGGTATCTAGAGAACGGCTTAACGGATCTCGATAAAATTTGGCATAGATGTTGAACATAGTCTGGAAGAACACATAGGCTACTAATATTTTTTTCTATTTCACCCGGACGGAGTCGAAAGCGACAGCTAGTATATTATATTGCTTTATATTTGAAAAATGTATGCTATTTGAAAAACATAGCTCTCTTAATTGGACATTAGAACTGTATCAAAATTCTACTTCAAATCACTACATCCTGGAATTCTGGTATCTATTGCAAAGATAAATTGGATTTCTTTTGTGTTCCAGTTTAACGAAAAACCTTTTACGATTACCTTAATTTGATATATTCTCAGAACTCAGTAACATAGGGGTAAAAATCCGTGACGTCAGAAGTGACGTTTGAAGCGACCGTGCACCCAATCTCCGTACCAGTGCGGGGATATGACACATATTCCTGACATGTGACAGCCCTGTCAGACCCCGACTGAATTTCGTTTGTACGAGAAACGTGCTTACTATTACATGTGCTTAATTGACACAATAATGCGTACATTTAGAATGTTTATCCATTAAAAATGGATATTGGTAACTAAGTAATGTTAGGAAGAAAATCCGAAAATGTGCCAGTGTATTGATGCAACACTAGCCTTAGTAAAATGTTGACGTTTATGTCCCTTCATTATTCATTCTGATACTGGACTTTGTAACGAAAGCACGTCATTCGCGCCAAATTCTAACCAATACTGTCTGCAAGTAACTATAAACTATTTTAAAATTTGCTCACCATTCAATGTACATCTTAGTTTTTTTTAATTTTTAAAATCTTTTATATTATGAGTAATAAAGTTTTAATAAATAAATAAATAAAAATAGCGCTTAAAATATGGTGCTGATTAACTAAACACTAAAATAGAGAAAAGCTTCAATAAAATTAACAAATAACATTAATTATTCATCTCTCAACAGACTATAGATATACGCGAATGCTGTGTCTTATAAAACCACAATACCTTCAAAAGCTATATAAAATCGTACACAATTTTACGTAAAATACAATTTTATGCCTTAGATAAGTCTGTTACCAACAATCGTAAACCCTACTTTGAAGTGGGTTTAAAACGCAAACTAGGATCTACAACAAATAGACCGGGCGCCGGGAGGAAATCTCTTAAACGATGATTCGATATAATTCCACTGCTACTCCCTAAAGTGCTTTCAGCGCAACCTGCCCTCTGCCTGCAAAGCTTTAAGCGACTGTTCCCATCTTGCGTTAATCTTCAATATCAACTTGATTTATTCAATAAAATTCTTTTAAACTTTTCCTTCCTACTTTAATGTTCTTTCTTTTCTTCGTTCTGATTTTTTTACATTCTCAAGACGAATTTTGTTACGTGCTATAAGTTAAATCAATCTAGTATTTGTGTGCACAGACTAAAATTAACGAGTTTTACATGAGATTCATTAGGTCAAACGTTTGAGGGTTAGCTTGTACTTTCAAAAGTTTAGAATTACGAAAACAACTACGTATTTAAAAAAGAAAATCGAAAACGTATATACATCATGATGTAATGTTTTTTTTTTCATCTAGTCAGCTATTCCATTTAATGATAATAATTGTTTGCGTAAAGAATAAAATATAAGAAAGTTGAAGGACACATTTTAAAGACAGTAAAATAATTCTGAAAATAAATATATTATCACATAAAGAAGCAGACCATTAAAAAGGACAATTCATTAAGAGTACGGAACATAAAACAAGAATAAGAAACGGCATAGCTAATTAAATGTATCGTCAGAATTTTATTTGACAAAATATAACAAGGTCGAGTCGTTTACGAGGTATTTTTTCCCACTACGTCTCGCACAAAGGATCGGGGGGCGGCTTCACGGGATAATAATTTCAAGGAAACTGCTTCGGAGTTTTTTTTTTCATAATATAAGTAAGAGCGGCGCACTTGGCCGCCGAAGGGAAATACGGCCCCATAAAGTTGCAAATGAAGTAATATCGCTCTCGACTTGACTTACTGCCGAAAACTTAGAAAGTGCCCGCACAGCCGTACTGGCTCCCGGCATTTTATACTCCAGCGGAACCCACGCTGTTTGCTTAGTGTCATTTAATTAAAGCGAACCGGCCAGCGCGGGCGGAGCGGATCGAATAACCGCTTGACCTCGGACGCTTTCTAATTAATGTTGACATTACACAATCATCTCTTGCAACTTCACACAAAGCACATGTACCCTTGGATTCGCAAATCATAAATCTTTCTAATATTATAAATGCGAAAGTTTAAATGGATAGATGGATGGACGTTCGTTTGAAGATATCTCTACATAGGCTACTATTTTTTTTTAATTCCGCACGAACGGAGACGTGTGCGACAGCTAGTACTGTATACACAGTGCTGATAAGTCTAGTCTATCTATTCAAGTCTAATTAATTCTAGATGAACTGGAATTGATCGTGGATCTTCAAAGGAATGGAATGTTAACAGCTGGTGTAATGTACTGTTACTTTTTAAAATTAGAATTAATATTAAAAGCTGCTGTTAATAGATAGCCAAGGATCACAGTGAGGCATTCTCGGGGCTTACATAATTACGAAAGTGCCTGGGGCGTAGACTAAGGAAATTACTCAAATGCCATAAATAATTTATAGGGATTTGGAGCGGAGCAAGTTTTGAGTGCTTTTAGGGTTTGTACAAGGAGCTTTACAATCTTTCATCGAAACCATTGCCTCAACAGGTATTATTTTACTTGAACAACATCGATCAATAATGTTCTTAACGACTATTTGAAGGGTTATGAAGTAAATTAAGTTAGGAATCTGGGTTCGACCGCTTTAAATTATGAGTTAACTAAACACTATGAAATTCTCACTTTACAAAACCGATCTTCATGACATCATATTTATCTATTTGAATACGATAAACACAAAAACTCATTAAAAGATTAGAAATATTTAAAGAGTTATGTATAAAACAAAACAAGACCCAATAATATCAATGCTATAATCACATAGTAGCCGTATAAATTACATTTCGTAAAACAGTTAAAATGTAAAAAGGTCGTTGGTTGTGCAAAAAGCCGTGCAGATTTTTCAAGTCCATTCACATTTTTAATAGTAGATCGTATAGTTTTCCCAGGGGTGTGATTTTGTGTATTAAATGCAATATTTTTACAGACGGCGAGCACGAGGGGCTGACTGCCCTGCTGGGGTCCGCCTCGCCCGACCTCGCGCTGGCCTCCGACGCTTCCGACAGTCTGCCTCTGCCCGACCATGATAATGGTGAGTGGTTACACAAACTTCTATAGTTATAGCACTACTACTACACTACTCGCCAAATTAAGTAAAATTATTTTTTTCAATAACCATGTACTTTTTTAAGCAAATTGTGTTATTTTATTTTAATATTTTAGAGATTGTTTAAGTTAATACTAAAATGTTTCACTAAAACATCTATCTTTGTACCAAGATAGCAAATAACGTACCAATAAATTTATTTGACTTGATTTAATAGTATTTTGTGACATCAGTAAAGACGAAGCATCTCAAAGGTAGAACATGTAAAGGAAACGTTATTAAGAGGAGAGCATCATATGAAAGACGTAGCTTAAAGACACCACGATACCATAAAATGTACAGTCAGCGTCATATAGATCGTCACAGACAAGATATGCAAATATATAGGTACATCAAAAGTAATCAATTATATCGGTACAACAAAAGTCCTCAAAATAATAGATACATTCACCCTGCTCAAAAACATCGGTACATACACAGCGTCAAATATATGAGTACATGCAAGATGCTCATAAATATCGTAGCAGCCACAGCGTCATAAGTAACGAAGCAGTCAAGGTGCGCAAAAATATCGGTACATTTGACAAAATTGAACTCTATCTCTATAGACTTGTGATACAATTTGGAATAAACTACTTCTGTTACATTAATTTGACACTTTGTATTAACATTATAGGTTGTCCGGAAAGTTCGTTCTGATTTTCGATATAAAGCTTACAATAGACTCTAGCTGAAGTGGATTCATTTTCGGATTTCCACCATTATCAAACGTCAGGAAAATTTCTATATTGTGAATAATTTCATTTCATTGGTTGAGATAAAAACTAATTTTTAAAATTTTATCCAATAATAAAAGACGTTTTAGGTATAGAGTCGTACCAATATAATTTAAAAACATTTCCAAAAATTTAAGAGAACAGGGTTTCAATTTTCCTTATAAAGCGGCACGAACTTACTGGGCAGCCCAATATTTTTCTTCTCCTGTCATAACGCTTAAATATAAAAGTTTGTCACGCCGAATATGACAGATACGTAATAACTAATATCAAATTTTGCCTTGTCACAATATAAATAATACTAGTTTGGCGCAGTATTCTAGTATGTTTGCCGTAATATGTAAGTTTACCGGTTCGAATCTCAGGCTACTTTTTTTTTCATTTTATCAATCACGGAGTTATTTTTTCATAACCAGTAAAAATTTGGTAATGTAAAATTTTGCTCGACAATTTTTTTTTTATAATTTTCGCTGTCGGGTAGAAAGAAATTTAAATAACGTTAACAACAATTAGGTCAGACCATCACGGGTGAAGTGAGTGGGCGGAGCGTGGATTGTCATTGCGGGTTTTATGAATGGTACGCGCGGAAACTATACGTACAAGTGTTATCTACATATGTGTGCGCGCCCACGCACACTGGAATGTTTATTGCAATCGACCAAAAATTTGATGTAGTTTGGATATTGACATTCAGTTTTTTTCTTTCTTTCTTAAATATAATCAGTATCAGTAAAAGGTAAAGGTAAAAGTGTTATTTTTACCGGTACAAGTTTAACAAACATGAGTAATAAACAAATTACATGCCAATAGCATCGCTTTATCTCCTTCATTTTTGTTTGAAATAGAAAAGTACTTTAACGGTCAAACTCATTAGTCCAAAGCAATATCAAAAAGTACCTAATAACTACGGCGATAAAGTTGAATTACATGTGCTTCGATATTAAAATTCAAAAGTTTAAATATCAAAAAAAAAGTGGCTTGGGATTTGAACCGCCGACCTTACGTACCAACGGCGGCGAACGGTAAGGCCACGAGACCAACCTAGCATATATGATGACAAACTTAAATTTGATGTTGGTTTTATCTACCTAATATCTGTCATCCGCGTCGAACACTTTTAGTAAATTTTGAAAAATGGTTTGATGCAAAGTGTCAAATGAATGTAACAGAAGTAGTTTATTCCAAATTGTATCACAAGTATATAGAGATAGAGTTCAATTTTGTCAAATGTACCGATATTTTTGCGCACCTTGACTGCTTCGTTACTTATGACGCTGTGGCTGCTACGATATTTATGAGCATCTTGCATGTACTCATATATTTGACGCTGTGTATGTACCGATGTTTTTGAGCAGGGTGAATGTATCTATTATTTTGAGGACTTTTGTTGTACCGATATAATTGATTACTTTTGATGTACCTATATATTTGCATATCTTGTCTGTGACGATCTATATGACGCTGACTGTACTCGGGACTAGCGTTCACTTTGACTCATTCGGTTTGCGTACGAACGTGAAATTTAACTAAAGAACTTCTTACGTACGCTCACAAAATACTCTTTATAACGTTCGCTTCCGTCTCTTGATGAAATTCCACGACAAATACAATACGGTTTTACGTTTAGCAATCAGTTTTAGTGACTGATTTTTTTACTGTAACAATTGCAACAATAGATGGCGGTGTTATCAATTTTACAAAGTTATTTAATTTAATTAAGTTGTTATAATATACTGTCATAAGATTTTGATAATTTTGAAGTTAAAAATAAATAAAATCAATCTACTTCTGTACTACAAAGAGAAATTTATATTAATTCGTAAATATTATAATGCAAATAACACCATTCCTCGCGTTCTGATTACTAACGCAAAATAGCTGTTTACGTAATGGCAAGCATTAATTTATACCGAATGAATTGATGAATGCGGTCTCGAAGCATTAAGAGGAATAGATCGTTGCGTCTCCATTCCCCTAACTACGACCCAATGAGAACTTTCAAGATTGATGAGTTCAACGCAATGACAACTCGCCGAGTTCTCTTTCGCGGAGTTCTGAGTTCCCCTCCACGAATTCCCTTTCGCGACTCGGGACTAAAGTTCTCAGTTTTACGGCTCAAACACCGTAAAGTATAGATATAAGGCACTTTATAACAATCTGTTGAGGGAATCTTGTTAATTGTGTCGTGACTTTATTGAGATTCATAACTCCACTGGCGTGAAGTGATATATTTTAAGTGGTGTAAACAACTGGAAACTTCCTTATGATAAATAATTTATATGAAAGAAATATTATTTTCAACATTTTTATTTAACGAATAATTTCGACAGGATTTAGTATTTATAATAGATAAATATTTTATAGTACTATCCGTCGAGTTACGATTGGATATTATACTATTTGGATTTAGTGTAACCAATGTTTGTTGTTTAAAAAACAAAATTAGTAGTACTAACTCACGAGCGTTTAATTTGGAGCAAACACAGACTCGTCTGAGTAGTTAATTCGGTCTCAACTGTCATTTGTCATCTGCATCTAAAATTTCAAAGGCAGTTTATTTTAGAACGAAATAGTATATACTTACTGGGCTGTTACTCCGCGCAGACGTTCAATGTGACTCGGTAAGACGAAACCGCGAAACGCTCGGCTGTCGCACAGAGGTTGATAGGTTTGATTCAAACTCAGAAAACCCATTTTTCCTTTTGGTTTTTCTCCTTCACATATTTCAAACCTAAGGTTATGGTATAATAAATTGGACCAATAATTAATAAAAGAAAATACACTTAATAAAAATTGACTATTCTATATATAGGAATATCGTGTTCTAAATTACGTTTAAGAGAATTACTATTTTGAAATAAATCTTCGAAGGCAGAGATTATTCCATGAAATTTGTAGCAATTCAATCCGTACAGCCAAACAATTTTCATAAACACCTCGGGGCTTCTGCTTTTGTCGTGACCACCAACTGTGGTACCCTTTGATCTATTTTACATTTCCAAACCTATTATAAGATTGAATTCCTTAAGCTCTCGTTTCACGACGTGTGCTAATTAATAAACATTTTGCGCCTGTACATATATACATATTAAGTAATCATTTTGTTTTTCTCCTGCACTAACTTATACCCATAGCGAGCACTTATTTTAATACAGTAATCAAAATGACTATTCATATACCTCATAACACTTCCGTCAGTCTTAAGTATGACTGACGATTCCAGCTCACTATATTTCAAGCATGTCGGCTCACTCATTTATCACAACAAAGCTTCACCTTAAACCAAACGTCAGAGCGACAAATAGTCGCATGGCGACGGGGACCAAGCACTATCTTACACTAGTTTCACACGACGGGAGTTTTCTGAACACATACGTTGACACAGAGTAGACTGTAAATGTACGTTCAAACAATAGCAGTACTGCATTGCTGTACTGGACTGCCTCACTGTTCTAGCCTCATGAGGAACTAGCATCATACACGTGACATGGGAACTAAACTTTGGAACCTGAGCGCTGCACTCGCCCCGCTATTTTGTCACTCATATCTCACGTGTCACGCTCCTAAAATGTATGTTACAGAAATGAAACATACATGCGAATACAACTTTACATATGAAATGAAACACTGTCTACGATTTATATTACACGTTTTTTTTAATTATCACTGTATAAAAGACATTTTATTTTGCCCGATTCGAGATTCATTTATTTTTGTTTCCCTAAATAGTTGCTCTTATGTACATATGTTTTGATTTATTTTGAATTACAAAAAATCCAACGAATTTAAAACATTTAACAATTTGTTTTTTGTTTCTAAATATTAACGCTATTATTCAATATATTGATTGGGAATGAATAAGTTATTCTTTTCAGTTTATATTCTGGCCTCATTCCAATATCGTATTTCGTGCTTGTGAATTTTATCAAAGAAATGCATTGGCACATTTCCGAACAAACTCTATTGGCTACGACAATGAATACAAAAGTGTCCTGTAGACACTTATCAAAGGAAATATGAGTCACTTACAACTCATGAGACAACGTAGTTTCAAATAGTATATTGAACGATCGGTTTGTAAACAAAATAGAAAGAAGTACAACACTTATCGCTGTCAGACTCTCCTTGACATATTTACGTTTTCATTCCCCCAACACGTTCGTGAAGGAAGTTTCGACCCCGATCTGTAAATATCCCTGTTTATTATTA